GCCGGTTTAGACGGTACGATTTTCGCCTACAACTATCGTATACAACACGCTCGCGCCATCCTACAATTCGAGTCGTAGCGTGCAAATCAAGCGTTCAACTCGCCCACGACAGACGCGAGCGTGTTGTATACGATAGCTGTAGGCGAAAATCGTACCGTCTAAACCGGCCTTAAGACTACTATGATATTATCCGGGCTTTCCGAAAACCAGTAGTCTACTACGCAGCCGCTATTAGTATCGTCACGCAACGCTAATAGCGGCTGCGTAGGACTAGAAAATCAGCAAGTCGAATAAACTCATTAACTTTTAAAGTACCAAAATCAACCACTTCAAAACTCAAAATAAACTATTAATCTTTCATTTTACAATATTTTTGTTTGAAGCATAACTGCTAAAGACAGATTTTAGGAGCAAAATTTGTCATTTATTGATTTATTGAYGATTTATTGTTATTTATTAGTGTCCCCAGAGTGTTCCTAATAAAAGGGCTACCTGTGGACTGCTAGAAGACTAGACTTTTAAGTTAAAAATAAAGCTTTACTAATTCTGTGACACAGAGTACAAAACCATGGCAGCGCCGGTTTAGAGGGTGGAAAGCTGTTGGTTAGAAAATCCTAAGTTCAGAAGGTCAAGTATCGTCTACCCGTCTACGGAAACGCGACGAGAAATGTCAAACTAAGGACAAAATTAATTTTGCTCGTCTTACAACCGGTTAAGATAAAACAAAGCTGCTCGCTCGTCAAGCAAATTAGAAACTCCAAATTTGTTATTTTATTTTTTCACACAATAAAAATAGTCTCTCGAAATACGAGGTTCATAAACATACCATGTTTCCTGAGAAAATGATGTACTAACTATACGACAGCACTCGGTAAAGGCTACCTTTGAAACCTTTTTAGACAATAATCATGAAAAAATGTTAACCCAAATTTCTGTTTTAAACGTAGTTTGGAAGTCATACATAACACAAAGATACGTTTACGATAAAATTAAATCTTAACACTGAATAAATATTTGAGAACTATATTTTGAATAAGGCTGGCCAAGCTAATACTCAGGTAAYTGAAGATTGAATAGTTATTACGTTCGAATAATATATAGTCAGCGTAGGAAAATCCAAGAAAAAATCTAGCCAAGGTTTACGACATATGTTTTTTGGTTAATGAATAATCAGCGAAAAAGAAAAATACAAATACTCGAAATAGCCGTAGTGACTTTACAGAAACAGAAAATTATAAAATATACTCAAAATATAGGCATTGAGAATTCTAATAGTTTTTTTTTTTTCATCTATATATCTTTCTGTACTAATCACAGTAAGAAATAAAGCAAAGATATTCACATTACACTTACTTTAGTGGCTCTATTCTCTTCCTTTGAGTTCTTTATCAATGTTCTCGTAGTTTGAGAAGAGAAAACTCTCTCCAAACTCGAAGACAGAAATTTTATTCAAAGAAAATCGCTACGTCTGACGTAGTGGAGCTAAAATAAGGTCACGACTTTGGGTGTAGCGTATCTTTGCAATGCCAAAAATCTTAGATTAATGATATCAATGTTTACTAGTCCTGGAGCGATGTTATTGAATTCATATTATCCTTATGAGGAAAGATTACATTGATTCCTTTACTAAACTTTCTAACTTATTTTGAATTTTAGTTTATAACAAAAAAGTAAAGCGTTCTACTTTTGGGACGCCAAGAAGTGTATAGGAAAGTATTATTTTCTTGGTTTCTGCGGTAAGTCTATTTTTAAAAATTCTTGGTCAAAAATATCTATTTTTATCAATTTTAAAATATATTTTAAAAACTGTAATAACCTGTCTATAAAGCTTTGTACCTTGAGGGCGATATCTTCTAAAGAAGTCCATAATTGGCCTTAAAAAGTCTTATTTCATTAAATGAAGCCGCGAAAAACGCTTCAGCATTTTACAAAATTGACTTCATACCAACCAATCAGCGCGCGAGGTATTTTAAGTCTTGTTAGCAATCTGTTGGGACCACGTGTTATTTCTTTCTTTAAAGATTGCACATGAGAAAACACGTGATTTGGATACAACTCAAACGCGGAAGCCGAATCTTATTCTCAAGAGAATGAAACGTGGTGTGTAATGGGTAAACGTTGCATCAAACTAAAACGATAAATAAATTATTAAAAAAAAAAAAAAAAAAAAGGAAAAAAAAAGAGAGCCTCCATCCTTCGTTCAAGGCATTTATTTATTTTAATTATTTTTCATTTAATTAACGAAGATCAATACATGCATTTATAAGAACGCTTAACCACAGGGAACCCATAATCAAAATGTCCTCAGTTGACAGTCATTAGTCATTGAGGTCTTCAGCAAGGAGTTTTAGTTGTTGGCCATTTTGTTTTTGAGCCAAGAATGCAGGTACTTGACGCGTGCGTAGACGCCGTACTTATCAGGAGATGCGCAACCGTATCCCCAGCTGGTGGCACCGTGAAGGTAGAATCTGCCTCCATTCTCACACACCATTGGTCCACCAGAATCACCTGGAAAAGGAAAGCAAAGCAAGGCTTAATTGAATGCAATAAAGAGGGGCTCTGAATCAAAAAGGAATAGACGGCTCACTCTAACAGCTCACGTGACCTTACTCCCTTGAGACGAGCCCATTTTTGAAAATGAACAAAATAAATGATCGAAAAGAACACCTCCACGATAACATGGAGATGTGCCTGGAAAGGGGAAACATTACGCATGAACCAAAATGGACTATTTCACGATCCAAGGATGAAGAAACATTTGAACCGAGTTGGTTTCGCAGTGAATTGTGGGGCTGTTTTAGGGGGCATATTTCCAAGCACTGCAAAACCAACTCGCCTCAGTTTCTTTCTCAACCTTTAGTTTAGGCGTAATTATGTTTGCACCCTTTTCAAACCACGTGTCATTCGCTTGAGAATTCCTAGGATTCCTAGTTTTATTTGTATCAATATTCATGTGTCTTCTCATGTGCATCCATTAAACAAAGAAATGATACTCTAGGGAATAACACGTGGCCTGAAACGGCTAATTAAGTTTTCTTCATTACCTTGACAAGCATCAATTCCTCCTTGCTTCAGTCCAGCACAGATCATAGACGAATCGATCTCATTGGGATAAGAATTTTTACATGTCCTCTGATCAACTATTGGTACAGAGGCCTGTTGAAGGAGGTCTGGCTGTGAGCCACCTGAGCTCAATGTTCCCCATCCCGTAATCCAACAACTGCTTCCAGGGGACGCGTCTGAAATGAATTCTGGGAGACACACTAGATTCGTATACCTGATAAAATGGAAGGGAATTTAGTACAAAAAAACAAAACAAAAAATATCAGAAAAAATCTGTTAACAWTTGGTCAGCTACGATTTCAAGCTCACGCCCCCTTATGTAAGCCCATACAAATTATGTTTCAAAAACACGGTTTGTGGATCTTTTCTCAAAATAATGACTATCTAGGCAAAAATAGAAGTGGATTCAGTTAATTCAACTATTCACGGACTATAKTACATGGTATAGATTGACCGTATTTTTTCTGATATTATGAGCTCATACTATCTGTTGGGCTATACATTCACCTCTTATGGTTTCTTAGGTTTCGTAGTCTCGAAAACACGCTAACTAGGGTATTTAGCGAAAGAACAGAAGAGTTACGGGTCATTTAGGATGTTTTGTC